ACCGTCGTAAACATCAAATCAGAATACTTGGGAAATTGATCCTCATGAAATCCTTCATTGCTTCAAGGCTTTCTTTCGTTGCGGCGTTCTCAAGCTTCAATAGCCCGAACCTAGAAGCTACATTGTCTAATCCAGGACGACGACCCTTGCGCAATGGCGTTTCCTATGAAAAATGAGATGCATCAATATGAAAAATTATGGAAAAAAACAAAATTGACATATAATTAAAAGATAACAATACCTCGATGATTATATCATTGATTTCGTCTCGAGACAACTCGCACTGGTTCCTCAAGCGACCTGCAAATTGACCAAAAAACAGTTTGCAAAAATCAGTTTGCAATAGGCGAGAGTTTTACAAAATGGCCGAGAGGTTTACACAAAACAGTTTGCAAAAAAAAAACATCAAAATCCCTAAATAAAACACTTTACAAACAATTCACAATTTCTCCACATCAAAATCCCTAAAAACCGAGTATACACATCTAATTCAAACAACAAATTTCCTAAAACAATTACAAACAATTCAATTTACATTTAACTTGTTCAATTTAACTTGTTCAAACATTCCCTAAAAATCCCTAAAAATCACAATTTCAAAAACTCTAACAAAATCTAACAAAAATCATTGGAAACTCTAACAAACAATTCACAATTCACATACATGTTTGCTTGCAGAGGTGAAGAAGGTCCGGCGGTGGAGGAGATGGTTAAAGAGGTGAACCGGCGGTGTAGGAGAAAGAAGGAGCGGCGGTGGAGAAGAAAGAAGGACCGGCGGTGGAGGAGAAAGAAGATCCAGCGGTGGAGGAGAAAGAAGGACCGGGGAGGAGATTCGTCGGAGGAGAGAACGAGGAGAGAAAGAGATCGGCGAAATTTTGCAGAGACACAAAAATCTGTAGCAGCGGAGAGAAAGAGGAGAGAAAGAGATCTGAGGTTATTTATAAAGATTTCCGACGGATTAAATGGTTGGAAATATTTCCGTCGAAAATCCGTCAGAAATCTTTATAAATAACCTCAGATCTCTTTATAAATAACCTCAGCCATATTTAAAAAAAAATTAAAAACACACTTTTATTTTAAAAATTCTTTAAAAAATTAAAATCCACACTTTTCGTTTTAATTTTTTTTCTTTCCGATTCCTGACGGCATAATTTTCTGACGAATTTACGACCGAATTTTCCGACCGAATTTCTACCAAAAGTGTTTCCTACGGATTTCCGACCAATCTTGCAACCATATTCCTATGGGTATTGTTTCCGTCGGAAATTTCCAACCGATTTTGGGCCGGAATTTTTCGGTTGAAAATCGGTCCAAAATTTGTCGGAATTCGGTTGCAAAATTCCAACCACTTAAGGTCCGTCAAAAATTCCGTCGGAAAATGGCCTCTTTTGTTGTAGTGGAACAACACAACGAATTGTGTCATTTGGCAACCGGTTTGTAACATGTAACTGATGTAAGCTTTTGAAAATGTCGTGGTACATATAAATAGATAAATAAATTAAAAGTTCTATATGAACGCAACAAATTATATGAATTTCCTATAACCAGTTGGCCGTTTGAAGAAAATAACGAGAGATGTATACTTGTAAAATTCGATATTCCATGATAAACATAGAGACCATAAAACAGTTATCTGGTCACCAAGATGACACATGAACAGATACGTATATACACAAATGCTTCTAACTATGTGCAGGAATATAAAAATAACCACCTCATTTTCAGTAGCCCCACTTTATGGTGCATATACAACATAACATTTTTTTC